TACTCAAGAACTCCAGTGATGTTAGTCTAGAGACTAAGATGCACCTGCTTCAGGCTATGGTCTCCACAATTACTTGCCATACATCAGATAACTGAAAAAATGACTAAAGATTAGAGAAGAATAATCGATGTCTTGGAGTTGTGATACTGGAGAAGAGTATTGACTATACTATGGACTGCTATCCATGAGAGGGTAGATCATCATCCTTGAGAGGGTGAAACGAGCCTGCTCTTTGGAAGCAAAAATTTTGAAGCTCTGTCTGACATACTTTCCAGTCCTTGGAGAAGGACATAATTCTTGGAACGGTAGAGGAACAGTATAAGAGAGGAAGATTCAAGATGAGATGGATTGCCTCAGTGATTGGGGGGTTGGGTGTGTCAGAAACAGTAAAATTGGCTCAGGATAGAGCAGGGCTCAGAGCTATTGTACATAGGGTCACTATGAGACAGAGTCAACTTGACAGCACATAACAACAAGCACTCCATGAATTCCAAAGATGCCATAACTGAGCAATGAAAAGAATTCCTCAGGAAGCACTAAGGCCAGGAAGAATAGTAGAGAAATCCAAAGAAAAATCTCAGTTTTGAAAAGTTTTATTTTTTTAATCCTTTTTGATTTCCAGATACGTAGCCAAATTTCTGAACACTTTAGAGCTCCCCAAAGAAACTTAATCTTTTAAGGCATTTTATGATGTTGCTTTTCATAAGTGAAATATTTAAACGATTGACTTCTCCAACTGAGGGTTTCTGTTGATCAAAACACTTGGAACACTTCTCTTTCTCCCAAAAATGTAATTTGGGCCTCTTTTACCTGAAATAAAAATATCATGCTTCATGTATGTGAACTTTTATTTGGAGTTACCAGCCTGTGTTATCTTATACCCAAAATTTAGTTTCTCGGTGAGTCAGAAATATTGGTGCTCATCTATCCACCAGGACCTAGGAGAAGGACAGATTGGGAGTTCAACAGACAATTCAGCTTGATGGAGTCTTGGTTTAAAAGATTATGCTGTTGTTATGTCCGTCATAGAGACCTTATGTACAACAGCTCTAAACTCTCCTCTGTCCTGTACCAATTTCACTGTCTCAAATACACCCACCCCGATTACCTGAGTCACTGAATCAATCCACCTCATAGAGGGTCTTCCCCTCCTGCACTGTCCCTCCACCCTCCCAAGCATGATGTCCCTCTCCAAGGACTGGTCTTTCCTTATAACATGTCCAAAATATGTCAGACGAAACCTCAGAATCTTTGCCTCCAAGGAACAGCCTGGTTTAACCCTCTCCAGGATGAATCTGTTTGTTTTCCATGGTACACTCAATACTCTTCTCCAGAACCACAGTTCAAACTAAAATGAAACCATTTGCTGTAAGCATCTCAAGTCTAGACTGAGAAGAATGCTGTAGTCTGCTTGGAAATTGTGGGATATTGTAATCCCAGGAGTCATACTCACTATGTTTTCTATTCCCTATCTATGAAATCATGGAGACTTAACTCTCTCTATAACTCCATCAAGTAGTGAAAGAAGCAGAACGCTCCCTACTGTAGCACTCCCTACTACACCATACTCCCCAATGTACCAAAATTACTATATGGTAATTGTTCATACATATTTAGAAAGTCCTTGAACTTCTTTAAAAGGAACAGCTTTGTGAAATGTCCCTTTAATAAAATAGAAAAACAATCTATTTAGATATTTGTATACTTCTCTTGATAGTAGAAAGTGCTCTGAACACTATACATCAAATGTATTACAAAATAAAGTGATGTAGACTTCAAGAAAACATGAAAATGAACTTTATTTCCAGCAGTATAAGTGCTTAGTGAATAGAAGTTCAGTCTAAAGAGAGTAATGTCTTTTAAGGGAACTTTAGGTATCCTAGTCCCGCATAGCAATCTCCTCCTGTGAGATTTACAGCCTCCAAAACCCTCTAAAGGGTCAGCTATAATTTGGTTCCAATGAGTCTGAGTCTAGAAAGTTAGAAATTTAAAATAAAAACAAATAAGAATGAGAACACGACAAACACCAAAGATGCACTATCTAAATTATCACTGTTTCCTGATGAATTCTGACAAGAGGAAACTCTGAATGTAGAGAAAGACAGAGACTGATTTGTAAAATTATCCTACTTGACAACAATTGGCCTTACAATTAAGTGGAGGAGGGTGGTCTTCACCATAGATCTCTAACTTTAAAGCTGCCTGGTCAGGCCTGGAGCAGATCTTTGTAGACATCAAGGGAGGCAACCTTGCCACAGGCCAGTGCTGTGGGCCCTCAGGTCAGGTGGCCTCCAGCCTTATGTTAATCACTAGCACCAAAGACCCAGCTGAGCTACTGTCTGGACTAAATTCCTGAATTGAGGACCCCTTCTTTTTTT